CCAATTAATGGACTTTGGGCCTTTGTCAAATATCAGCTGCTCATAGGTAGATGAATTTATGTCTGGATTCTCAATTCTGTTCCATCGGTCTATATATCTGTTGTACCAGTAGCAGGCTTTTTTGACTATCATGACGGTATAATAGGTTCTAAGATCAAGGTAGTGTGAGGCCTTCCACTTTGTTGTTCTTCTTCAGTAATGGTTTACTTATCTGGGGCCTCTTCCTTTTCCACATGAAGTTGGTGATTTGTTTCTCCATCTCATTAAAAAATGCCATTGGAATTTGGATTGGGATTGCATTGTATCTGTTGATCACTTTGGGTAGAATTGATATTTTCACAATGTTGAGTCTTCCTATCCAGGAGCAAGGTATGTTTTTCCACTTATGCAGGTCTCTTGGTTTCTTGCAAAAGTGTCTTGTAGTGTCTTTATGTCTGTGGTTAGATTTATTCCTAAGTATTTTATCTTCTTGGGGGCGATTCTGAATGGTATTGATTTGGTGATTTTCTTTTCGAAGTTCTCTTTATTGGTGCAGAGGAATCCAACTGATTTTTCTATGTTTATCTTGTATCCTGATACTTTACTGAAATCTTCTATTAGTTCCAGTAGTTTTCTTGTGAATTCTTTGGGATTTTCTGTGTATAAGATCATATCATCTGCAAATAGAGATACTTTTTATTTCTTCCTTACCAATTTGGGTGCCCTTTATTTCTTTTTCTAGCCTAATTGCTCTGGCTAAAACGTCCAGCACAGTGTTGAGTTAGAGGGGTGATAAAGGACATCCTTGTCTGGTTCCCGTTTCAAGGGGAATGCTTTCAGACTCTCTCCACTTAGGATGATGTTGGCTGTTGGCTTTGTATAAATGCCGTTAATTATGTTGAGGAATTTCCCTTCTATTCCTATTTCGCTGAGAGTTATCATCATGAATGGGTGTTGGACTTTGTCAGATGCCTTTTCTGCATGAATTTATGTGATAGATGAGATTTTTTTTTCTAATGTTGAACCATCCCTACGTACCTGGTATAAATCCAACTCAATCATGGTGAATTATTTTTTTTTTATATGTTGCTGAATTCTCTTGGCTAGAATTTTGTTGAGGATTTTTGCGTCTGTGTTCATGAGGGTTATTGGTGTGTAATTTTCTTTTTTGTGGTGTCTTTACCTGGTTTTGGTATCAGGGTTATGCTGGCTTGATAGAATGAGTTTGGGAGTATTCTGTCTTTTTCTATGCTCTGAAATACCTTTAGTAGTAGTGGTGTTAACTCTTCTCTGAAAGTTAAACTGAAAGTTCACTCTGAAAGTGAAACTGTCCAGGCCAGGGCTTCTTTTTGTTGGGAGTTTTTTAAATTACCTTTTCAATCTCTTCTTTTGTTACAGGTTTATTTAGTTGTTTTGCCTCTGTTTGTGTTAGTCTAAGTAGGTAATGAGTTTCTAGAAATTTGTCCATTTCCCCTAGGTTTTCAAATTTGTTAGAGTACAGTTTTTCATAGTATTCTGTTATGATTCTTTTAATTTCTCTTGGGTTTTTTGTGATATCACCCATCTCATTTTTTAGTCAGGTTATTTGCCTCCTCTCCTGTTTTTCTTTTGTCAGTTTGGCCAATGGTTTATCGATTTTGTTGATCTTTTCAAAAAACCAGCATTTGGTCTTGTTAACTCTTCCGATTGTTTTTCTATTCTCTGTTTCATTTAATTCTACTCTAATTCTTATTATTTCCTTTCTTCTGGCGCCCAAGGGCTTCTTTTGCTGCTCTCTTTCTACTTGTTCGAGTTGTAGTTACGCCCAAATTTTATTTCCTTTTGATAGAACCAAAGGCAGTTGAGGAGTTACTAGGAAGTTCTTAAAAACCGAGAAACATGATAATGCACATTTCTTGAATTTTTCTTCCTTTTCCTTTCTCAGGTATAAGAACATTCCACAGATGTCCTTTGATGATACGGACAGGGAACCAGACCAGACCTTTAGTCTGAACCGGGATCTTACAGGAGAGTTAGAGTATGCTACAAAGTAAGCACTGGACCTAGCTTCTGCTCTGGCTACTCCTGAGGAGCTGCAGGTTCTCCCTCATTTGCAGCCTGCGCACACGCATCAGCATCAGCGCTTACAGCCGTCGCCATTTATTTTTGGCTGGGCTCCTGCTCCATACATCAAAAATGAATTAAAACAGTGGAGGAGGAGGCTTGATCTTTGGCTTGGTGAATTTTGGGCAGAGATTCAGTGCAAGCCACAGACTTGTTAACTTGTCAGCAGTTGGCAGATGCAAATGAGCGCCTAAGGTAGTCTTAGGAAAGAGGTTTTCAGAGTTCCTCTTTGCAAAGTGGTTGTCCAAAAAAAAAAAAACTAAAACAAATCCATTGCCCACAATTTGATTCCAACTCATAGTGACCCTATAGGACAGAGCAGAACTGCCCCATAGGGTTTCCAAGGCTGTAGATATTTATGGAAGCAGACTTCCACATCTTTCTCCTGTGGAGGGGCTGGTGGGTTTGAACTGCCAATGGCAGGCTAAATTTCACGTGCACGCCTTCCTTAGCTCTTCGCCAATTCTCTTTTTTACCTAAGGGTGAGGTCCAAACTAAACGTGGTTATAGAGCACTTCTCATTCCTGCTTCTTGAAGGCAGGAACAGTTTTGATTCATCTTTCTATCCCTTCTGCCTTAGGCAGTGTCTGGCCCAGAGTAGGTGTTCGGTAAATCTTTGTGGGATTAATTACTTGTCTAAGGAGACGGATGAGAAATAAAGAACCCAAGAGTGTTCAGGAATATTTGTCTGGGTTTTACCACAAATTGCAGTTGGAATTGTTTTTGACATGATGGTGAGATACTCAAGGAACTCTAACCTGTGTCTTCTCCCCCACTCCTTTCATCTTCTAGAATTTCTCGTTTTTCAAATGTCTATCATCTCTCTATTCATATTTCAAAAAACTTTGGAGCAGACACCACAAAGGTCTTTTATATTGGCCTGAGAGGAGAATGGACTGAGGTAAGTTGGGGTTGTGTGTGTGTGTATGTATGTATATATGTGTATATATATAGGTTGTGTGTGTGTACACACCTGTACCCTGTGGTAGTGGGTGGGAGCTTTAAGAGAAGGGAAACAAGCAAATGAGACATCAGTTATTCCCAATCCGTGTTTATTTTTTTGTTCATCCTTGTAAACTGTCCATCTTATTTGATAGGCTGTATTTTTAAGGTGGTTGAAATATATTTTTGGTATTAATTCACAGTTTTTCACTTTAAAATTTCTTCATTCTACAGACATCTTTTGATAAGCTTTCTTGTTTCCAGACATCAGCGATAAGATGATAAACAAGATAGACAAGGTCCTGTTCTCATGGTGTAGCCATTATAGTAGAGGGAAACATAGGAATCTTCTATGTTAAGGGACGAATCATTGGTGATGATCTCTGCAGGCTTCTCTGGACAAAAAGTATCAGAAGAGAAGAGATATTAGATGATGACTTCTGGAAATAAACCGGAATCAGGACTATTCCAATGTGTGTGGACTTGGAAAGCATCATTCTTTGATGGCCAGCTAACCCAGCTTCTTGATTTTCTTGCAGCTTCGCCGACATGAAGTGACCATTTGTAATTATGAAGCATCGGCCAACCCAGCAGACCACAAAGTTCATCAGGTTACCCCACAGACACACTTCATTTCCTAAGGGCTGGCCAAGGCTCCCACAGAGGCTGTGTCTCAATGAAGATATACAACTACCTACTGGAAGGAAAACATGATAGGGCTCCCAAGAGAGTTGGCTGCCACAGACTCTGCCAAAGTTTGTCTTTGGGGCTTGCTGTAGAAACTTGGCCTACGGAAGATACCACACCACTGGGAGGGTTGTGTGGGTGCCGAGGGACTATCATGGTTCTCTAGGGCACTGCAGAAATTGGGTCTTCGCTGGTCTAGCATCTGGCAGTCATGGAAAACAGCTGCTTTGCCAGTCTGAATGTGCCATGGGATCCCAAATGTCTTGTTGATTTGTGGCAGGATTTGTATGTGACCTGTTTTTTAAAAAATGGAAACAGTTCTTGGGCTGCAGGAAACTTCTGAAGCCTCTGGATTGTGTCTGTATTAGCCATCAGGAGAGTCTCCAGTGAGAAATAGTTGTCCCTGCTTGTTCCTTCTCCCTGTCATTGTTCAGCATTCTTGTCAAGTTGCCCAGCTTGGAGTTGTCTGTCACACACGAGTGTCCCAGAATTATAGCTGGAAGGGTAGGAGTCTCCTGGTGATACTTAATAGCTTGGAGAGAAGGTCCTTTTTCCCACTGCCTAGGTAAGCAGTCTGGGGAGAACATGGGAATCGTTTCCATGTTGGTAGAAAGATTTGGGGTAAGATTGGGACTTGGGTAAGATTGGGACTTAGGTAAGATTCCCCTTTGGAAGATCCTTAATGTTTGTTTCTCACTAGTGTTTTAAGCCCAATGCCAGAATTTGGAGATCTCTGAGTTTTTTTGTTGATGGCTTTTTATTCTCTGTGACTAATAAGCTTCCTAATAAATCCTTGCCAGACTTAATGCTTGTGTTTTCTTTTGAGTTCTTGGTAGTACTGATGAAACTTTTATCTTATTCTGAACTGTATTGAACTTTGAAAAAAAAATTTGTTGGTTTGAACTAAGTAGATCATAAGAAGTACTACAGTTAAATCAAGACTAGGTTAGTTCCTCCAGGGAGGGTAGAGCTTAATTGTTTCCAGTGGGCCAAAAACACCCTCACACTCACATTTTGTAAAGATGAAAGCGGAGTTAAAAGCCTATTTTCCGTTTCTCAAGGGAAAAATAACTTGTGGAAAGAGGGACATTTACAAACATAAGAATAGGTTCTGGAGATCATCAGAAGAAATGCGGGTGAGGAGAGTAGTTAAGTGCACAGCACATGTGGTCTGAAAGTGGACCAGAGACCTTGGACTTACATTTTGAAAGTAATTTATGTACCTCAGTACAGCGATTGGAGAGAATTTATGGATCTAAAAAGGGGATTTGAGATGGTCAGTGTTCTCTCTTAGAAAATAAAAACAATTGATAGAGGGAATTGAACAGTGTTGAATCAGAGTCACTTGAGAGAATTCCTCTGAGAGACTGGTCCACCTTGTTGTTAGGAGGATATGCTTGCTGCTTCTCCACCCTGTCCTAGAAGCCTGCCACCACCAAGCCTTGTCAAGCCTCAACATTTCTAAAATGCAGCCTGAAATCAACTAGAATGCAAATGCAATTCTTGATGCCCAAGGATTCTACCTACTCCTCAGCCACAACGTCTTTGTTTCAGTTGAATCATTTTGGAGATAAAAGAAGAGCCATGTTTTAATTTGAAGGGGGGTGGGGGTGGGGGAGAGGTGGAATAAAGTTAGAAATATTAAAGCAGACTTTGTTGTTGTTAGGTGCTGTCGAGTCGATTTTCAACTCATAAGACTAGCCCTTCATTAATTCCACTAATTAAAAGCACTAACTACCGGTAGCCCCAGCGACTGGGCCTCTGAATTTGAAGCTTTACTCTGAAGAATTTGCTCAAAGTCCCACAATGTTTCAGGTAATCGGGGAGGGGGTGGTGGTGGAGGAGGAATCAATTGTTCATTGTGCCATAAGCTGACCCAGCAGGGAGTGGGGGCAAGTGCATTTTTTTTCCTTCCACTGCTGTGTCCTTTTCCCTTTTACTCACCCTCAGTCCTGGGTACTTGGCTTGTGTGGTCCTCTGGTTCAAAGGTTTCCTGCCTGGAATCCTGGTGTTTTAGGCTCTATCTCTGTGACCTGTTCAGCACTTAGGTCCAAACTGCCTCTTGGCTTGGGGAAAATGCTTTGTGAGCTTCCAGTTAGTACTGTTTTCTGTTAAAAACTAAGTTGCTGAGGGTTGAATGTGACTCATTTCCTGTTTGCTGATGTCCACATGCTCTCTCAGGGACATGGTCCTTCATCTCAGTTTGCCATGCTTCCTACCCTTTCTGTGGATCCTGAGCCTTATTTCCACTTGTGCAGCAAGGAGCAAAGTGACTCGATGGTGACCAAATGAAGCCCTTTTTGTTCTTCACTGGAGCTCATTGATGACATTATTTTTTGCACTGTCTGCACGGCACTGCTTGTCGAGCTAAGACAACACTGCTGATGGCCTGTCCAACTATCCTGGTATGGAGTATGGCCTGCATTATTTTCCCAGGGTCTTTTTAGAGACATTAATTAAGACCTCACACTGATTTTACAGTGTATAAAGCATTTTCATGCAACCTCATTTGAGCCTCACAGCAGAGCTATGAAGTAGGCAAGGTGGTTATTATCCCCATTTTATAGCTCAGGAAACATGTCTATAGAAGCAGTTTACAATAGAATAGTGAGGTTTATTTACTTCTCTGTAAGCCTCAGTTTCCTCATCTTTAAAATTAGACTGGAGGACTAGAGGATCATTAAGGATAGTCTCAGTTCAGAGTATATGATTCCATAATCCTGGAATTGTTATGCAAAGGGCAAGAGAGCCAGTGGTAGATACCCACATCAAAACTAAACCTATTGCTGTGGGGTCCAATTTCAACTCATAGCGACCCTACAGGGCAGAACAGAACTGTCCCATAGGGTTTCCAAGTAGCAGCTGGTGGATTCGAACTGCCAACCGTTTGGTTAGTGGCCAAGGTTCTTAACCACTGCGCCACCAAGGCTCCGGTAGTAGGTACACATGGCCATAATTAATTGTGTCCCATGTGGATGGGACTTTGTGATAATAGTGTGAGGAATGCCTCTCCTTTCCGATAACATTCCTGTAGGAGGCATATGGGGTTGTGGTAGCAAGTGCACGTCTCCAATGCCCTGTCTCGACTGTGCGGGTCGGTGCGGGGAAGAACTCAGTGCGTTCCGTGGCGTAGTTACAGGGAGTGGTCCGGCGGTAGCCAATATGGCAGCTTCTAGCGGGAGAAACCCTCTACCCCACTTCCGGGTTCCGTAACGCTGTCCAGGCTACTTCCGGAAGCGCGATGGCTGGGTTCCCGGGACTCAAACGGAAGTTCCGGCGGGGGCGGCCGAGGGGGAAGAGTGTGTGTCTGTGCCGGGGAAAGAGGAGAACAGCCCGAGAGGTCTTGAAATCCCCAGGGAGTGGAGGTACCCTGGTCCGGGGGCGGGCAGGCGGAGGGAGGGGATGTAGGGGCTGATAGGGCCATTGGGAGGGTCCTGGAGAGTGGGGAGGGGGAAGTGCAATTGTGAAGATGGGGGTGGGGAGTGAGGTACGGAGAGGCGCTGTTCAGTCTTGGGGACTTTGAGGGTTGAGAGGGGCTAGGAAAGAAGGTGTCTGGGTGTGATGAGAGGGACTCCGGGGTCGGAAGTGGAAGATCCCATTGTGGGGCGGGGGCTCCCCAGGGTCAAAGGTGGAAAGCTCGTTTGTGGGCAGGAGTGGTTGCTGGGTCAGGGTAGAAAATGTCACTGTGGGGAGGGGATGACCCTTGGTCATAAGGAAGTTCCCATTATAGGGAGTAGGAGATCCTGGGTCAGAGTGGAAGTTTTTACTGTGAGGAGGGAGACACCGGGTGGGGGTGGGGGTGGGGGGAAGGCACCTCTCTGAAAGGGGCGACTCAGGGGTGAAAGATGCAAGTCTCCATAGTGGAGGAGAAAGGGAATCCCAGCTTAGGGAGAAAGGTCCACTCCCCTGTGCGAAGAAGGACCCACAGAGTCAGAGGGGACTGATCCCACTATGGGGAGGTGCACTGGGGACAGGGGGTTGTCAGAGGTGGAACGTGGAAGCCAGTTAGGAGGGATGAATGATGCTGGGAAGAGTAGGCATTTAAGGGCAAGTAGCAGAAGCTTCCTGGCGAGTTTGGAGGATGCTGATGATGGGGAGGAGCCAGCCAGCCTGATTCTTTTGTGTGTTTGGGAGTCCCAGAGCATGGTCAAGCTGGGGAGCCCATTTGGAGTCTGTAGGCAACAGTAGCAGCAGCAGCAGCAGGTAGCCCCATTCAGGGAGGCCAGAGAGCCATTTGGGGAGTGGGTGGTGGCAGGGAGTGCATATGCCTTCTGGGGACATAGGCAACCCCAGGGGTTCTGGGAAGGGCTGAGCCAGAAACTGCTGTGAAGGCTGGATGGGGGCTGGATGGGCAGGAGGGAGGTTTGAGATGTGTGTATGTGTTGGGGTGTGGGGAGCAGAGGCTAGAAGCATATTTCCCTGGCATTTTTCTCCCCTTCATTTTCCAGAAGGGCTGGGGTAGGGGTAGTGGGGGACCCAGGGGCTCCAGAGAAGGGGGATGGCAGATCAGAGAGGAGGCAGTTACCCACTGGGCAGCAGTAGCCCACTGACTTCTTCCACAGTTCCTGACTCCTGCCTCTGCCCTATTCCAGCAAGTTCAAGCACTGTGGTTGGTCCAGAACCAATGACATGAGTTCTGGGCCACTAGGGTGGCTGCCTCAAGAACAGAGGCAAACTTCCTGCCCTCTGCTCTGCGTCTTCCTGTCTGCCTTTTTCTTTGTGGCCAGAACAGAACTCAGGCCAGGGTGCTGTGTCGGGGGGCCGATGTCTTGGGCGGGCCCTAGGTTTGAGGCTATGCCCTGTGAGAGGAGTCTCTCATCTCCCTGACCTTGCTCGTGAACACCCCTCCCCTCCATTTGCGCAGGCCCCAGCCGTGGAGCCCTGAAGTGTATGTGCGGTAACACCATGTCTGTGCCCCTGCTCACTGATGCTGCCACTGTGTCTGGAGCTGAGCGGGAAACGGCCGCGGTAAGAGTCTTCCTACCCAGGGCCATATACATCGCTGGGGGCTACCGACGCAGCCCCATTTGGGGCTGGCTAGAGGGGTGTGGGAAAAATGGAGGTGGCAGTGATGAGAAGGGAGCAGCCTGAGGCCAGGAGGCCTGGGGTTAATAACCTGTTTGGCTGTTACCTCAGTTCCTCCCAGGTCCTTTGGTGTGGGGGAGGGGTAGCCAGAAGTTGAAGGATAAAGAGGGAGAATGATAGCAGCATGCTGACTGCTCTCTTCCCCAGCTCATTTCTCATCATTTTCCAGGTTATTTTTTTACATGGACTTGGAGACACAGGGTGAGTGAGCTAGGAGGGGCTGTTCCTTGGGGACTTGAGGCCTGCCACCCCTCCCTTCCTCCTCCCTACATCGGAGCCTTTCTTTCCTTCCCTCCTACAGGCACAGCTGGGCTGACGCCCTCTCCACCATCCGGCTCCCTCACGTCAAGTACATCTGTCCCCATGCGTGAGTGTCACTCCCAGCAAGGGAGGGGCTGAGGATGGTGACCACCTGGGGGGGTGGTCCTGTGGTCCCAGGCCTGTTCTCTCCCATCAGCTGTGTCCTGGGCTTGGGCCCAGGGCATCAGAGGTGCCATTTCAGCCTTAGCTCCTGTGGCACTCCCAGGAACGAGTCCCAGCACCAGCCCCCAGCCCTAGGGTCTCCCAGCACTGAGATCCCCTAGGCCCAGGGCCTCCCTGGGCCCCTTCCCCATGTACTCACCCCCTGCGCTGGACTCCATCACAGTGTTGGGCTCTGCTTCTCCATCGCTACCACTGATGCCCGAACCGCAGCTTCCAGCCCCACATGGCTGTTTGCCCG